CATAATTCGATTAAAGAAAGCCTGTAACACATATATTCTGATCTTTTACCAAAAATAAAACTTCGAAAATTATATATTTAACCCACTTAAATTATTTGCAAGCAGCAAGTATCTGCACAAAAAAGATCTATAGATCATGTCAATCAAGTTGAATGGAGCATTTTTGTTCACAGCATCAAGCCGCTCAAAATAAAAATAAATGACGTATTATACGATCACAGGATATGAAAAATAATTTAATAAAAATAATAAATAGTAGGGTAAATAAAAAAATCTATAGCAAATTTTACTTATTTTAGTTGATTCCGAAATATCTGCTGACTGATAAAGATGTTTAATTTAAACTTAAATCATAAAAAATATGGAAATATATTAAAATGTATGATGAACAACGGACTTGCAAATTTTGCTCAAACTTAGGGGCCGATTTTACCGTAAAATAGACCGATGTATCTATGTATAGACCAATGTTTAGTCCAGCAAGTCTGTTTTAAGTAGCATTTTGCATATAAAATGGTACTAAAAACTGCCAAAATGCTATGTATTTGCTGTGCACTCAAACGATTTACTCATAAAATCTAACTTCACTCATATGTTACTAATTCACTAATAAGATTCTTTTTTGACGCGTTTGTGCGTTTTCAAAGTTAGGTTTTCAGAAACGTCTGACTGCACAGCAACAACATAGCATTTTTACAGTTTTTAGTGTCACTTTATATGAAATACGCAATACATTAAAATATAATGAAGTTTATGTCAATGTATTGAAATCTTCAAAATGTGGTATAAGTAAATTATATGATTTATAGATACTCTAAATAATGATTTTGTTCATAATATAAATAAAGTTAATTAAAAAAGTCCACATTTAAAATGAAAATTCATTAAATCAACCCTTTCCACTCGGATGCCGCCCCTCTGGAGGCAAAATTCATATAAATCTGGGAAATCGCGAGTGAAAAGTGTTAATTATTTTTTTATTATTTTCTTTCAGGTTTTACAATCGGCCAAATTTAGTTCTCTTAGCTACTCACGCTGTTTTATTCTGTATAATAATTGTTTTTCAGTTATTTTAGCCTTATAATGAATCAAAAAGATTAATAACATACCGCGAAACACAATAAACCTCTAACATTCCACTATATCAAAAAGAACAATTGAAATTCGAAAACATCGCAATCTCGAAAAATTACATATTGTTCGGTGCCCCAGATAAACCGATGTTTGCAAACACACGTGTTCATTACATACAATTTATCGGTACCACTATGAAATAAGATTCTCATTGTCACAGCGTATAACCAAAATAATACAACAATAAGAACCATATGAATCAAATAAGAAAATTGAAATTGAATAAAAGACTAACACGTATACTGCGTAGCAAAGGGAGCAGGAAATTGCCTTTCGAAAATTCGAGGAACGTACGAGTAATGTGCGCCTCAAGTACGCATCGGAATTCGGATTGGACCTAATTTGAAATGGCACCCATGTGCGCGCACACTTCACGGATTACTTATAAAGATTCCTAAACATTGAAAATTCAAATATATAATATTGATGAAAATAATGAAAAACGATAAGGGTTTGATTAGACAACCAATACTTGGGCATTTTTGCATACAACTTTGCATTACAGCTCAACAAAATATGTGAACTGCATGAGTCATCCCAATATACTTACTTAAGGGGGTATTCTAGTGTAGAAATTCAAAAAAATCGATTTTTTTTAATTTCATATTTTCAAAGTTTAACTCTCTAAGAATATGTGTACGCGAGAAGGTTTTTGAAAATTTGAATTATTTTCAGAGATATAGGCATTTTACTGACTCGGTCTCCATACTAGTTTGGCTTCACACAAAACTTTAAATGCGTTTTTCTCAGAACAGTCTTTTTCAGTAATGTTGACACGATTTCTTGTGTTCTCGACCGATTCACTTGAAATGTTCAGAGAGTTGTTTATAGACCTATCTATAGCCCGAACTCGGATTATGCCCAAATTCCAATTTTTACTATTTTTAAAAAATTGGAGAAACGCAAAAAAAAACAGTAAAAAAACACTTTTTTTTCAAACAGTCGCCAATTTGTAAAAAAAAAACTTTTTACTCATCGCTAGTTCGCTGATTGCAAAATCATTGTAGATTAATAATCTTTTTATTTTTTTTGTTTCGGATGGCTAGGAAGGCTGAAATCATGTCAAGACTGAGGTGCCAATTTTTTGTGACCCCCCACCCACTCCCAGTTTCCTCAATTTTCAACTTTTTTTTTAACTTCCCGTAGGGTAATTAACTTCCCGTAGGGTAAGTTATTGTAATGGGCCGAAAATCGGAATTGAAAATTTTTACATTTCTCGACGTTTTGAAGGTTTCTGAACGTTTTGGCATACCCCAGAAAAAATGGATGTGTGTGTGTGTGTGTGTGTGTGTGTGTGTGTGTGTGTGTGTATGTATGTATGGATACAAATTTCCAGTCACGTTTTAGGGCGCACGGATCAACCGATTTGAATGGTTCAAAAAACATTCGATTTCTATTGATAGGGAAAAGAGCTGATTAGTTTTTGGCAAAGGCAGGTCCAGCCGTTTCGGAGATACGGTGCAAAGAGTGCAGAAAATAGAAATCGAATTTTTGAGAGAACGGAGTATCCGATTTGAATGATCTAAAAAACATTCAATTAGTAATGATTGGGAGAAGTGTTTATTAGTTTTTGGCAAAGGAAGGCCCAGCCATTTTGAAGATACGGAGCTAAATATGTAAAAAATGGCAGTTTTTGAGAGAACTAAGCGTCCGATTTAAATGATTCAAAGAACTTTCTGCTTGTCTTAACAAAATAATCGATTTTGGAAAAAAAAATTGTCTCATTTTTTTTTTTTTTTTTTTTTTTTTTTTTTTTTTTTTTTTTTTTGGTATATCGAAAATAGTTCAGATTTTATTTTCATTCTGACTACAGTTCTAATATAACTCATACAAATAATTTTAAATGTTTCAATATTTTTTATAATAATCTATTTGAAAACATTCAGTTCAGAAATTTTCACACAAAAAATGCAAAATTAACTAACAGTTATATATAAAACGCATATGATAATATTGAACAATACGATACAAAATTTTAAATTTCAAAGCCGGCTTAAAATAGCCTAGATATTATATAGCATTATCGAATAATAAAGTTTCTGACCTCGTGATAAAGCATGAATTTTATTTAAAAAAAATTATCTAAGGCTGACCACCCCTTCAATTTAACCATAGTGCAAATAATTCCCGATGCGCACAAAAAATATAGTTGTTACATAGATTGCATACATTTTTTTGCATTTTTTATAAAAAATTGAGAGATTGAATATTAAAATCTTAACATCTTTAATCCCCGCTCTATCTTATATATATATATATATATATATATATATATATATATATATATATATTGATTTGGAAATATTAACAAACAACACTCTTTTTCGCACTAATTTATTAAATAATAATTTAACAAACGTTTTGAGACTAGGCTAAATCTAAAATATGGAAAACTAAATTAGCATTATGCGTTATCCGTTACAAGTCGTTCAATGTGCAGTATTTTGAGTTCAGTATACAGAATATTGAACGACTTGTAACGGATAACACATAATGCTAATTTTGGTTTCCATATTTTAGATTTTAAATTATAACACACTGATGATGAGACAAACCTAGTCTCGAAACGTTTGTAAAATTATTATTTAATAAATTAGTGCAAAAAAAAGATGTTTGTTCACATTTCCAAATTAATATCTCTCTAGCCACTCAGAATACATTTGTTATATATATATATATATATATATATATATATATATATATATGTACCCGGAATTTTCGTTTTTTCAAAAAAATATTTATTTATTCGTCTACATTAATGTGGTCCCCTTCAAAGTAGTCCCCCCCAGATATAATACACTTATGCCAGCGTTTTTTCCAATTTTCGAAGCACCCTTGATATTCACTTTTTGATATGTCCTTGAGCACTCTCAGCGATTTTCTTCAATCGAGGAAAACCGCCGTCCTTTCATGGGTCTCTTCAACTTTGGGAATAGGAAAAAGTCACACGGAGCCATATCTGGTGAATTTTTGCACTTTGCAACACTTTATTTCATTTTTTACGCAAAATTTAATACAAATTCTTTGACTTTTCAATTCTTCCATTGTAAAAATCGCCGAGCTCAGAAAAACACGTCGAACCTTAGCGACTACCACAGACAAAGTAAACAGTGAATATAGCTGAAAATTTCATCATACTTTAGGGGCATGTATACCAACACAATAAAAAAAAAATTTTGACAATCAGACACTCCAGACCCGCGAAATTTAATTATTAGTAATTCCGGGTACTTTTTGAACAGACCACGTATATATATATATATTAAATGTTAAATATAAACAATACAACACTCAGATTTTTAATACACACTTCATTTGGTAATTGCAGACGTTTATATATATATATATATATATATATATATATATATATATATATATGAGTGAGTTCTTGAGGGCGATACATCAAACAAAGAAATTGTTTCTTTGTTTGATGTATCGCCCTCAAGAACTCACTCATATATTTCAACATCAAAATTAACTACTAAATCATATATATATATATATATATATATATATATATATATATTTGAAACTTTATCGAACCTTTAAGGCAGAAGCGCAAAATTAAAAAAAAAATTCAATCCAAACAATGATGTGGTCATTGCGATCTATTTGCATTTTTTCAGACAGACAGACAGAAATAAAAATTTATTCCTTATATTGGTACATACATTGAATTAAATTTGCATTTTTTCAGCAACATTGATAGGCTATATACACTTCATGTACTACGAGTCAATTCATGTAATCCGAGTCAGTTTGCGCATGCGCTCAATTGAATATATTTTGTTTTTATTGTGAAATCTCAGTTGGTTATGCTAACATATAAAAATAATTGATTATTTTGTTTTATTAAGTTAACAAAAATGAAATCTAAGCGTAAATCTGCTAAAACTAAAAATAGCTATAATAAACGACTATATGCCGCAAATGCAGTTAAAAAGAAAGATGTAGTTTCTAGGAAGGAGCAGCAAAGGATATGCAAAGAAAAATTGCGATCGGATTCGGTATACCGAAAATCCGAAGGAGAACTAAACAAAAATAGGATAGCGCATTTGCGCAAGGACGAAAGCTTTAGGAGAAGGGAAAAGGTAAGTAATAGAATACGTTTAGCGACAACTAGACATAGTGACAATAATTTCGCTCGGCTTGAAAATGAGAAGCATAGGAAACGTATAGCTATCAAGAGAAAAAATGATGAGATATTTAAAATTAATGAAAAAAATAAAAATAAAGTACGCATGCGTGAATATAGGAAAAACGAAAGTATAAGATTGGCTGAATATATGGCAAGAAAGCGCGAAGATAATGTTCATCGAGAGCGAAGGAGAAATGAGTTGCGTATGAAATTTTTAAGACAGGGTCAATATAAACTATCTGAAATTAATAAAAATATCGAACGGAATATAATTCTCCGTCAAAATTATGCATATAACCAGTTAGAAAATAATAAAAATAAGCTGCGTAATAGACTTCTTCGACAAAATTATGAATATAGGACGAGCGAAAATTATAAAAATATCAGGCGAAATAGTGACTTAAGACATAAATTACCATATCGCACAAAGGAAATGAAAAATAATATCGAGCGCAATATGCATTTACGACGTAAATCTTTGTATAGAACTCGTGAAAACGAGAAAAATATGATACGCAACAACAGGTTAAGACAAGCTCCAAATTTTTCAATAAACGAAAATAAAAATAATACTTTTCGTAATAAGATTTTGCGCAAAAATAGAGAATTTAGATTAAATGAAGCACGTTCTAATATTTCACGCATGAGAATGACTCGTAACATTGCGCATTACAGTACAAACGAGAAAATTAAAAATATAGATCGAATGAGAAAATCACGGCACGATAAAGTCGCATATAGAAAGGAACTAAAGAAGAATGCCGAACATAAATTAAAAAACAGAGAACTAGATTTCATAAAATATCGTGAAAACATATATAATCAATTAAAAACATTTGACAAATTTATCCATTTGCAGAGCTGCAGCAAAAGTTTATTCATTTAAGAGCCGAAACTACTTCATATATTTGCTGTTGCTGTGAGGGACTGTTCTTTAAGCATTCGGTTTCAAAATTCAATGAAACTTCTCTTTATAATAAAATTAATTCCATTAATAATAAAAAAATGCACGCGCTATTAAATGCGGAAGAGTTAATGTCGCGCATATATAACTTTCCAAGCGAATATATTTGTACTACATGTAAAAAATATGCTAATCGTGGTGAGGTTTATAAATTGGCAACCAGCAACAATTTGCAATTTACAAAAATACCCGAATGCTTAAAACGGTTGACAGATTTAGAGGAACGAATGGTAGCGCCAATATTAAATTTTATGCAGATACGTGCTTTAAAGCCTTATGCTTTAAATCCACAATTAGGATTGAAAGGGAGCGTGGTTAATATTTCAATCCAAATCAACGATCTCTTAAATGTTCTTCCAAGAAAATTCAATCAAATGAAAACTATCCAAATCAAATTAAAACGAAATATCAGTCATAAGAGCGACTATATGTTTGAAACAGTAAGACCGGGATTAATTTGCGAGGCGTTGAAGTATTTAGTTACGACACCCCTATATTTAAAATATAATGTTCAGGTAGATCAAAAATATTTAGATATGTTTGATAGCGGCGTTGAAAACGTTAATTTTATTGTGGATGATAAAGATCTTTTAGAAGATGAATTATCTGAATCGACCAATGATGGAGATGATAATCCACCACCTCAACCAACAATTGATTTCAATCAAATTAACAATGACGAAGTCTTGCTAATTGATAATAATACTAATGTGGCACATGACAATTCTTCAAAGATAAGTATAATTGCTCCAGGACAGAGCAAATACCCGTTGCCTTGGCACAAAATGGATGATTTGGATGAATTATGTTTTCCCAAATTATTTGGTGGTCATTCATTTTCATCTCAAAAAATATCTTATAAAGATCGCGCACGTTCAGAAGTTAGACGGTTTGACCGCCGATCATGTATTCCGACCCGTATCTTATTTATGGCAAAAAAAAGTCTGGAGATTGCCTGCATGTCTAACATCAATATATGTTTAAGGCGGTCAAAAAAAAATTTGGCTAAAAAAATTGTTGCTTCAGATGCTATAGATAGCAATTTTATAAACGATTTAGTAAAGTTTGATGATGGTTATAGGTTTTTAAAAAACATTAGATCGTCGCCAGCATTTTGGGAAGATAAGAAAAAAAAATTATTAGCTATGATTCGTCAGTTGGGCCGGCCCACTTTCTTTTTAACTTTATCTGCTGCGGAGTCACAATGGCCAGAATTATTGAAAACGTTGATGAAATACAGCGAATACAATAAAAATATATCTCTACGTGAAGCGTACGCGTTGGATCACAATACGAAAACCACACTGATTAGAAACGATCCAGTTACTTGCTCGAGATATTTTGACTACAAAGTCAACAAATTTATGTGGATGTTGCGACAAGCAAACAGTATTTTTGGCGAGTATGAGGTTATAGACAGCTACGAACGAGTCGAGTTCCAACAGCGCGGCAGCCCGCACGAGCATATATTATTATGGTTAAATAATGCACCGAAATATGATTCAAATTGCAATGAAAGCAATAATAACACATTCATAGATTTTATTGATAGATTCATTACGTGTAAAAATGATTCAGAAAATCCATATGTCAAATTGCAAATACATAAACATGGAAGGACATGTTATAAAGGACAACGAAACAAGGAATGTCGTTTCCACATTCCATATCCCGTTATGAAAAAGACAATGATATTAGAGCCGCTAAGTAAAGATGAACAAGCCCCAAAACAATATAAAACCATACGCGATCTAATGAATAAATTGTATAGAGAGAATAAATATATGAGTTACGAAGATATTCTAAAGGAATTAGGAATGAACGAAACTGAATATATATTGTCAATTCGGAGTTCATTAAAACAGAAGCGCGTATTTTTGAAAAGATCTAGCCTGGAAGTAGCTGTCAACGCTTATAATTCCAATATACTAAAATTGTTCGAGTCCAATATGGATCTTCAGATTATATTAGATGAATATGCGGTAATAAGCTATGTTACTAATTATATTAGTAAGATAGAGGGAGGACTATCCAAGCTTTTACGAGAAGCAGCCATGGATTGTGACAACAATAATAAAAGTATCAAGGAAAAATTTTGTGCTGTAACTAACGTATTTTTAAATAGTAATTTAATGTCAGCACAAGAAGCCGCATACCACGTTCTTTCGTTGTCTTTGTCAAAACAGAGTAGAAAGACAATCTTTATAAATACTCGGCCAACGACTGAACGAGTGTCAATGTTGAAGTCGATCGACACTTTAAAACAATTAAACAAGGATTCAACTGAAATATATGTAGAAGATTTATTCAGTAAATATAGTAAACGCGTTGAAAGTTTAGAATACGTATGTCTAGCTGACTACGCTGCAAATTATGAAAATAGAAAAAAAAAATCATTGGATATTGAAGACGACATTGACATCAATGATGAGGAAATAGAAATAATAAGCCGCCAAAAGTCTGCTATAATAAGATATACAAGATATAAATTATATCAAGACCCAGCCAATTATTATAGAGAAAAAATATTGTTATTCATGCCTTGGCGAAATGAGCTGCAAGAAGTGGAAAATGTTAACTTTGAACAAGTTTTTATCGATCATAAAAGAATAATTGAAGATAACCAACGTAAATTTGCTATTATAAGTGACGAAACTTTAGACGATGCACTAAAATTAATTGAACTCGAACAACTTCATTATGATGATGAACATATAGATCAAAATTCATTTAGTAAACAACATTGATATATTACAACAAGAGGGAAATAAAACAACAAATAACAAAACAAAAACGACCTCAACAAACAGTCGATATGCGTGCCCCACTAGGGTTTCCCAAAATCAATTGTTTGAAATGATGCTGCAATTAAATATTAAGCAGCGGGAGTTTGTTATGCATATATTTAAATTGTTCAAAATAGGCAAAATACCATTTAAAATATTCTTAAGCGGATCAGCCGGCGTGGGTAAAAGTATGGTTATAAATACATTATACCAACTGATAACAAGTTATTTCGACAGTCTACCCGGTGGAGATTTAGATAAAATAGTGGTGTGCTGCTGTGTGCTCCGTCAGGAAAAGCTGCTTTCCTCATCAATGGCGTAACGTTGCATTCCGCGTTTGCATTACCTTGCAGACTATTTGGAGTAAATTTAGCTGAACTATCGAGTGACGTAGCTAATACAATACGCGAACAATTAGCAAAAGTTCAACTCTTAATTATTGATGAGATATCGATGGTAAGTTGCACGATGATAACTCGTATTGATACTAGATTGCGGCAAATAAAAGGTCTCAATGAACCTTTTGGTGGAGATCTATTAGCAGTTGGCGATTTGAAACAATTGCCACCGGTAATAAAAGATAAACCGGTTACGAAGTGTCAATCACAATGAAATGGCTCCAGCTTGATGTGAATCCTTTGTGGAATGACATTTGACTTTTTTGAATTGACA